CCCCGTCTTTCCTTCTCCTTCTCCCCTCTTTCGTCCCACTCCTTCCTCCCCCTCCTTCTTCTTCCTTCCCCTCCCTGCTTGCCCTCCTTCACCTCCTCCCCCCTCCTCCCTCACCCTTCCACCTCCCTCCTTCACCTCCTCCTCCCTTGCCCCCCCCCCCTCCTCAGCAACAGCATGATTGCTGTTATCGAGCGCCAACTCGCCCTGTGTTTATATACTCGACTTAATCGGCGGCGCTCGTCTTGGCGAGGCCAGGGGGGGGGGGTCTAGCTGTAACCCTCTTTTCATCAGCTAATTTGGCCTTATCTTTGCTACGACACAAACGACTGTTATTTATGGCAGAATTGACGGGGCTTGTTCGTTATGATTTAATATACGCGTTTATGGCTCTCTACCTGCCCTTCTCACATACATTACACACACATACTCCTGCTTATAATGCAGAAGTGATTCTACATGATATGAATCAATTCTAATATTCTTTGTCATAGTTCACTACGAATTTATTATTATGAATTTATCTGTATTCTTATGACTTTTATTTATGTAGGTATTTGAATATTCCAGAAAGAAACCCAAAAGGAAAATAGAAGAAAACATAAGATGATTATTCATAAGTTTATTGAGAAATGATCATATACACCATGAATTGAAGGTACTAACTTTGGCTTCTATTAAACAGTATATCAGCGAAACATGATGTTAAATAAGCTATGTACAATAACGATTGTAAATATAAACAATGAGATAAAATGTATAATCTATTTTGTCAAGGCAACACCACTGGACGGACAACTAACATTACTGACAAGAGTTTTGTAAATAAATTTCATTCACTTCATTCACTCCACTGAGGCACATCTTAATATCTCCTGAGACCACGTTCGCGGCTTTGGTGTGGGAATGCATCCGCGTGGCTTCGGCGAACGCTCGTCCACTGCGCGGCGTTCGCGTGCAATTGCATCCACTTGTATCCGGATCATCCTTGCTCTCGCCGTCTGCTTCCTGGAGTCGCACTTACGCTCGATAGGCTGCTTGTAAGGCGAGTCTGTTTGTTAAAAGATTTTTTTTTGTCTGTTACTTTCAACGGTTCTCTGATTGGAATCCACTTGAAGTATTTGGATTTCTAAAAGGAATGTTAGACACGTACTGTCGCCATCATCACTTCTCCGGATGATTGGCTCAGCACATCGCCATTTCTCTGGCGAATGCGAATCACTGTCATCAACGGGCGGCTTGCATTAATCGCATACAGACACATACACACGCACGCGCACCTGGCGTCGCAGCTGTGCCTCGGCTGCCGCGGGAGTGCTAGCCTCGTTGAGCGGCGCCTTTGCTGCAGCGCCGCGAGGCTGAGCTGGGGAGCGCCGGGGCAGCGCCCCTGATCCTGCTCTCTGCTGGCGATTCACTAATCCTCCGTTGCCAGGGGAGGGCGTCCTGCGTCCCCTCGGCCTTCAGCTGAGCCCGATCATGCGGTGATCTCCCCGGCCTTCCTCATGAGCTCGAGCTTGACCTCCTGGTCGCGGGCCTTGAGCCGGAGGTCCTGCAGGGAGGCCTGGCGGCGCTCGGCGTCATCCCGCCGCAGGGAGAGGGGCGCTAGGGGAGGGGCCGCCAGGCCCTGGGGGCCAGAGATCGGGGGGGAGTAAGGCAGGGGCGGAGGAGCGAGGCCGGAGGTGATGGAAGAGGCGGTGGGCGGCTGCAGGCCGGCGAGGGACGGTAGGTAGGGCTGTAGGCTGGTCAGGTAGGGCGCCGCCTCCAGCTTGGAGCGCTGAGACAGCTGGGCGAGCACGGAAGTGAAGGAGGGCGTGTAAGGCAGGAGGTGCGGGGCCAGCGCGGGCGGCCTGTACTGCAGGTCGCGCAGGGCGGCGAGTGAGGGGTGCATGTAGGGGGACGCGGGCAGCAACGCCTGGGGGGCGGCGGCTGCAGCAGCGGCGGCCACGGCATTAGCAGAGGCGACGGAGGTGGGCGGCAGGTAGGACGAGGGCGGGACGCGGGAGCCGTGGAACATGGAGCTCGGGTCCAGGTGCTTGGGCGAGGGCGGGTAGCCGAGGCCGGCGAAGGGGCTTGAGATGGTGGGCGGCAGCGCGGGCGTCTGCAGGGGCAGGGGCGCCGAGGGCGGGAAGGCGCCGTAGGGGTGCGTGGAGGGCCCCACCTTCTCCTGCTTCCTCCACTTGGCGCGGCGGTTCTGGAACCACACCTGCGGGAACAAACAAATAAACAGACGTCAGTAATTGTGACTTTTTGAGCGGGAGAATCAGTGTTGCAGACATAGATTAAAGTGGGTGTCATAAATCAATTATATCGTGGTTAATGTTCGTTAATTTACCCCGCCGGGTTCTGCACCGGTTCAGGACCAATAACAACACATGATTTATTAAAGCTTATCATGACAGCCTCTCCATGGACGACCTTGAGGCTGGAGGCTCACTTGGCGGGGGAAACGCTCGTTTGCGAGGCGCTGGAGGGCCCGGTGGCAGCCGCATGCGACTGCCGCAGCCAAAGGACGCACGAACCCGATCTAACCATTTTCATCTCATACCTTTCTCACTATTCACGAAGCCATCTCTCGACCAAATATTTTTACTTGTATGCTTAAACCAGCAAGGGCTGTGGCCTCTTTTCCAGCCCCCCCCCCCCCCAACCGTCCCTCCCTTCCGTGCGTGATTCTCAATCGTCTTTCAAGCTGCGTAGACAACCGTTGCTCTGAGTTACTAGTATTATTACCGCTATATCAGGAGAAAATTTAATTTCCTATGACAGGTTAATTCCTTTCTACTTTATTTGGGTGAGTAATGGTAAGGAGAGGGGGGGGGCGAAGAGGGCAATAGAAGGGAAGTCGCAGTAACTCCCCTGGAGTGTCTTTTAAACTACGCTTATTCCAAATTCGTTTTTATGTTCTCTCTCTCTCTCTCTCTCTCTCTCTCTCTCTCTCTCTCTCTCTCTCTCTCTCTCTCTCTCTCTTCTTCTTCTTCTTCTTCTTCTTCTTCTTCATTATCAATTCCTACCCATCCCCTCTCTTTCAAAAAAAGAATTGACATTAAACAAACCTAACAAAAACAAATGTCCCCAACAAGGCAAATAAAGAAAGTGCGCGAAGACGACAGAAGTGGAGCATTTTTGCTGAACGAGCACACTTCCCGCCGGTCGTATTTATAGGCCAAAAACACCGCCTTAATTGAACAAGAGCCACATATCATAACAGGGGTAATTAAACGGGGTAATTATCTGCCCATTCCTCCTCCGAGCTGTCATTATCGGTCAGGAAAAAAAAGAGAAAAAAAGAGGATGAATTTGATAACGTGCAGCTGTTGACGGCCGCTGGGTGAATGGAAGGGCCAGGAGGAGAAAGAGAAAGGGGTGGATGATAGATAGATAGAATGATAGAGAGAGAAAGTGAGAGAGAGAGGCAAATGGACAGATAGACAGGTAGGTAGATGGAGAGATAGATAGATAGATAGATAGATAGTTGGATGGATATAGAGACAAATGGATGCATAGACAGAGGAGAGAGAGGGAGCGAGAGAGAGAGAGAGAGAGAGAGAGAGAGAGAGAGAGAGAGAGAGAGAGAGAGAGAGAGAGAGAGAGAGAGAGAGAGAGAGAGAGAGAGAGCATTTTTAAAGAGGTGTGCGTATGATCCTCACCTCATGTCGCCTTTGTGCTAAGTGACTCCCTCGCTCTGTAATTTCGCGATCGTAATGGGTTAAATTGGCGCGACCCTCTTTTCTTTCCGCTAATCCTTTCCTCTCTCCCTGTCTCTCTCCCTTCCTCCTCCTCTTCTCTCCCCCTCTCCTCTGTCCCCGTGCGTCAAGAAAGACCAATATAAACCCTCCTAGTCCCAATTACATGTAATCCATTAACTTGAGTTCTGGCCAATTTGGTCTTTCCGGCGGCCAATTTCACCGTCCACGAGGAGGGCGCGACGGCCGACCCCGTTACAGCGACCGCGGCGGAGGCGCAGCGCCGCAAGTGTTCGGCGGATCCGACGCGCAGATTCGCCGAACAGCTGCGCTTCGGCCCGTGCGGGGCGCGCCACGACATGTTCGCGCAGGTGTGGGCGAAGGCACATAGTGGGCGCCATGCGGCAGAAGGCGCTGGGGTGGGCGTCAGGGAGCTCCTTGTGGGCGGGGAGAGCCAGTCCGGTGGGCGCGGTGGCGCGGGTGGAGATCGCGATCATTTTTCTTCGGTATTCCCGAGACGCGAATGGACCTTGAGGAAGCGTTGGCACGTTTTTATAGTCGCGGGCGTGAGAATGGGCGGAGGAGGAGGGGGAGGGGGAGGCTGTCATGGAGCAAGCGGGAGGGAGGGAGGGAGGTTTCACCTTTGCTCCCCTCCCCCCGCCCTCCGCCTACTTCTCACACGGAAGGCAAAAAGCCCCGAGCCTTCACGCGCAGCCCGGTGGGCGCTTGACAAACGCCCTGATAGCACACCCAGAGCGTGAAATACCCACGGACGTCGCGGCTAAAGAGGATATTTAGCGGAGGGATGACGACGGCGAGAGGCGATGATGATGATGATGATGATAAAGATTAATTACCCTTCATCGGAAACGAGAAATTACAGCGAGCGGAGACGCCGCGAACGGGCTGTGATAAGGTCGACTCGCTCGCCGAAAGTCCTCGCTGGTCGATCACGTGGGGCGGGGAAGGGGGGGGGGGACGTGTTGACACATCGACTAATTGCTCGTTTATTAATGTCATCTCTGCACTTGGGGACTAAATATTCCTAAAAGATCACCTCTCACTCGGACCTTTCGTGGACGAGGGAAATACGCAACGAATATAAAAAGGGGTAAGAATATATCATGAGGAAGAAGCCTAAAAATCACAAGAAGAAAAAATGAAAGGTAAAGCGAAAGACTAAGATAGTAGAATAATAATTACAAGAATATGACGATGGCGAGGAAAACGATTTTGATAATATAAGCTTAATAATAATAATAACAACAAAATACCATAATTTACGCAATTACCATCATCAGCAACAATGATGTAAATAAAACAAAAAAGGATTGCTATTATATGTTCCGATTTAGCCAGCTTTAATTACCCTGGAACTCGCCCGGACGAAGCAGGCCTCCGGGGCGCTGGAGATTAATTAATAATGGCGATAATCTTTGCCCCGGTGCTTGATGACAAGCCACGGCGGAGGCGGGGAAGGCCGGGGGGAGGAAGAGGAAAGGGAATGAAGGAGGGAAGAGGGGAATGGAGAGAAACTGGAGAGTCTAAGGGTGGAAGTGATTACAGGAATGAAACACGAGGGCAAGAGGAATGTAAAAATCATGATAAAGGCATAAATAGACAGAGAAGAAATGGAGAGGAGAGAAGCAAATGGGACAGTACTGAAACAAACAGAGGGAGAACAAAAAGGAGGAAGGAATGAAGGGAAAAGGAGAAAAACAAAGATAACGACTAGGGAAAAAGGTGAAATGTGATGCCGGATGATATCTCTTATTCCTCCTCCTCAGAACAAAGAAGACGAAGAAGATGAAAGATAAGACAAATAAGAAGAAAATTTAGAAGAAGACGAGGAGGAAGAGGAAGAGGACGATATGGAGGAAGAGAGAGAGAGAAAGAGAGAGAGAGAGAGAGAGAGAGAGAGAGAGAGAGAGAGAGAGAGAAGAGATAGAGATAGAGATAGAGATAGAGATAGAGATAGAGATAGAGATAGAGATAGAGAAAGAGAGAGAGAGAGAGAGAGAGAGAGAGAGAGAGAGAGAGAGAGAGAGAAGAGAAAGAGAGAGAGAGAGAGAGAGAGAGAGAGAGAGAGAGAGAGAGAGAGAGAGCAAAAGCAAAAGAATTGCCAAGAAATGCGATGCAGTCACGAGAAGATTCCAAGGAAAGAAAGACAAAAACCACGACTTCTCACGACCGATTTCCAGAGATCTTGATTGGGCGAAGGAGAAGCGGAAATCCTGGCAATCCGTCACCCAATCCCACCCAATCAGACCCAATCAGGCGCCTTGCGAGGGAGAACTGAGAGATGGAGGATAACAGGCATAATGAAGGGCTTCTGTCGCAGGTGAAAATTATACGGCTGTACTTTATGGGCCAAATGCCGCTGTTCACGGGGGATGAGAGAGGGAAAGAGAGAAAGAGGGAAAGACGGAAAGAGAGAAAGAGGGTAAAAGACAGAGAGAGAGAGAGAGAGAGAGAGAGAGAGAGAGAGAGAGAGAGAGAGAGAGAGAGAGAGAGAGAGAGAGAGAGAGAGAGAGAGAGAGAGAGACAGAGAGACAGAGAGAGAGACAGATCAAAATACGCAGCACTAACAAGCGCGACGCTACAGCCGAATCACTCCCGGCCTCGCTGTCCACCAGATCATTTGGAGTCGATCACCGTTTAAACGACGGGATCTGATTGCTAACGCGTTGAGAGACAATCGCGAAAAATTGCAGGAATGGAGTCAGACGTAAACAGCTTTGCGGTTGTAATTATTATAACCGAAATAACTGACCTAAAGTGAGCTTCGAGTTTGCATCGAGCGGCTGATGGTGAGAAAGATCAGGATTTTAAGGCAGTTAGAAAATGCCAAAAAAAAACGGAGAAAACCGTGTTCTGTCATCTGTCTGCGCTTTCTCGAACGAATGTGCTATGCGTTTTCGTTCGCGTCGATCTCAAAAAATAGCAGAAAACGTAGAAAATAGAAAAAGAAAATATATTCTTTCTTTATTTATTACCGTTCTCTAAATGCTTTTGCCATGCTTTACCGATCAGTCAAAGCTATCAATACGGTTAAGAGGAAATGGACATCAGCCACATGTCTGCAAAGTAAATCTCGCACAAAATCCTAAAATAAGACAAAGGACAAAGATGAAAAAAATAGGCCGTTTCCCTTTCGTTATTCTCGCACAATATCGCCGGATCTCGCCGATCGCGGGACGTCTCAGCGCCTTCCGTCATTCATTTTTATTATACCTTGTCTTTTTTGTCTTCTTTTCTTTTCATCTTTTTTCTACCAACAGCAGAGAGTAATGAATATTCTTTGAGTTAGAGAATGAGTGACGAGTAATATTTTACTATGATATTTTAGACTATATTCTTATATACCTAGTAAATAATGTATTTGCTTACGCATTCACTATTGTCTTTCAATATCTCTCGCTTTTTTTGTCCATACTTTTATTACACATAAAATATACTATGCAATAATTGAATATACGATAATAATTAGAGTACGAATAGCCGATAAGTACGCTGTGTGATAATAACGATAACAGTAATAATAACGCTGATAATAATATTAAAGATAATAATCATAGAAATTACGATAATGGCAACAATAATAATAATAATAATAATAATAATAATAACAATAATAACAATGATAATAATAACAATGATAGTAATGACAATAATAATGACAATAATAATAATAGTAATAATAATAATAGTAATAATAATAATAGTAATAATAATAATAGTAATAATAATAATAGTAATAATAATAATAATAATAATAATAATAACAATAATAATAATAATATAAAAATAAATAAATGAATAAACAAATAATAACAACAAGAATCATAACATCAATACAAATATTTATGTCTCCCTCCGTGTTCACTGTTTATAAACAAAAAACATATAACTAACGAACATTAACCACTTTCCAATCCATTTGTGAGTCATTAGAAATTTTCAAATAGAAAATCTAAAACCCATAAAACATGAAAAAATATATGCAAATATTTACCTGAATGCGAGCCTCTGTCAGTCCAATTTTCATCGCCAATTCCTCTCTGTTGTGGATAAAGAAAAAAGAATTATTACATTTCAAAGTCAAATTTCTCTTCTCTGTAAACTCATACGAAGGAATTAATGTAAACACAATATTCTTATTTGTTAAAAATAAATAACCATATTTCACTCTTGGATTAAAAAGAGAAATATCTGTCGACGACACGCAACGAAGGAGAGAAGGAGAGAGGAAGAAAAGGCGGCGGATGCATGTGGACAGAGCGGCCGGATCTTGAGGGAAGTTGGACTTTTTACATTTTTTGAGGGAAACGGCAGGCTTATTAAAGGGGGAAGGGAACAAAAATGGAATAACAAGGAAGACAGAAAGAGTACTATGTAGGAAAAAAATATAATAATAATGATCATAATAATAATAAAAATACAATAATAATAATAGTATCAATAATGATAATGACAATATTATTATCAATATTTTTATTATTACTGTCACGATTGTTATTATTTTTGTTGAAATAACAATGATAAAGTACGAGAAACAATAACAATACTGATAATGACAAGACTAATGAACGGACAAGGAATCGCGCTTCCCGCGAGACCCACCTCGTGAACACGTCGGGGTAGTGCGTCCTGGCGAACACCTTCTCGAGCTCCTCCAGCTGGTAGGACGTGAAGGTGGTCCTGTAGCGGCGCTGCTTCCGCTTGGAGGGGCCGCCTGCGTCTGCGCCGCCCTCGCTGCTCCCTTCGCCGCCCGCACCGCCGCCCGTGCTTCCGCTCTCTTCCTCGTCGTCGCAGACCTCGTCCCCGCACTTCCCGACCTCGACCTCGGAGTCTGTATCCACAACGTCGACCTCGAGCTCCTCCTCCTCCTGGTGGGAGCGCACGGCCTGGGGAGGGCTGTGGTGGTGGTGGTGGTGGTGGGCGGCGGGCGCGGCGGACGAGGGCGGCTGGGCGGACACATCGCCCTGTCGCTTGAGGCACATGTCAAGAGCCACGGGCGTGGGTGTGGGTGCGGGACACTCTTCCAGGATCCCCATGGTCGTCAATCCTGCAAACATGAAGGAAAAGATTCACCGTCAGAGTCGCCAGGAAGGCAAAGGGCACGCGAGACGGGCTCGATCCGTCTCCATTAGAGAAAAACCTTTATCAGCCATTATTATTGTCTTTTTTCCTCTACAAAAGTTATCATTCATTCCGAAGTCTATCCCTCAGCGAAAGCAATTATTCACCCGAGCCTGATATTACTCATCATTTCTCACCGCGATCGAGAGCGTTGCCCAGTTTACTTTTGGGTTTGATATCAGCTCGAATTCATCATCGGGCCCAAGTTGTCATTCATCTCAATCTAATATAATCCACCATGATATAATGAGCTCTTTGCAACATCATTATTTATCTGCACTACTTACTTCTCCCAGACCCCACCTTGTTATTTCTTCCATATAAGGATTACTGTGCAAGTTGCGAGTATCTTTAAAGGTAATTTATAATGTCCTTAACTGCGCCACGATAACGCCCTATGATTTATATAGCTGGGAAATATGATTCTTGTGGATTTAAATGACTGGATAAGAAATGCGATTGCTCTGTACTGAATGAACATTAATTTTCCTTATACCTGAAACATATTACATTGTAGTAAACTACAATATGTAATGAAACATTAGAACACTGAAAATATATACTGCGCATATTTCCGCTGTGTTAAGTTAAAGTAAGTATAACATAAAACAGATATTCATGGTTACAAATATAACGAATCTAACGTTCACTTTTTGCGTGTTAACCAACATACACTGATCTAAATACAAGCCGCTCAGAAACCAATCAGCAAGACAAATAAAACCAGGATGAGTTCTACAAATTTGTGTCGCCATAAACTAGCTTTACGAGTCTGTCCCAATTATTGCGCTGCCTGTCGAGCAAACGGCCTTTGAGCGGCGAGTTCCCGAATCGGGAAATGCAAAGCGACGCTTGACCTTTGCCGAATCTTACACAGAAATGGGAATCTGGGAGGTCTTGCCTTCACTCTTCGCTACGAGAACACTTCGACCTGATGTTGTGACATTTGAAATATCAGAAAAGTTCCATAAAATGAATATTCTTTTAAGGACAAATAAATATACATGTGTATCTTACAAGATCACCTGTGTTGACAGTTCACGTACCGTTCGCACAAAACACTGATGGAGGTTCACCAACTAATTGAGTATATCCACTTTTGTATATCCGCAAGCGAGCGGCAGACACTGTATAAACACCGTCTTTTCACACCTGTCCAACCTGGATGACAGCGGCGC